ACATTTATTAAGTAAAAAAACACAAATTGTCTTCCAAAGAGTCCCAAAAGGATGAACTGGGTAGCTAAACTTGTGCCCTATAGGAGTAGGAATCCCCATCAGAAGTCTTCTACTTATGCGCTGCAGGAATCTGTTCCATGCTGAACTACTAAATAACAACAAATTTGTCCAGGCAAAGTCCTAATTCTAAGCCGTTCTTTTAGAAGAAAGAGTTTCATTATTTCAAAGCATTTTCTGCGACGATTAATAATTTTATTTGGATCAGAGAAATCGATTAACCGGTTTTTTGCGTAGTTTTTATGATTACCCTCTTTAAAATAGGAAATTTTGCAATTTGATACTATTTATTATACATTTATACGAAAGGAACACGATCATCAGGAGGACTCATCTTTATGCAAATATAATTATACAAACAAACAAGAAAGAGTAAACAAAAAATGGTAATACATATTCACAAAAAAATACTACTATGTTACGATGCAATACTTACGTCTCCACAGCAAATGTTATTGGTAGGTATTATTACCGTACAGGTATTAGAAATATGGAATTATTTTAACGACCGATCAATCGGAAACGTGGTTAAAATAAGGTTAAATTTAATTCTTAGGTTAATTGCATTTAGCCTAGTCAACTTGGCAATTCAAGAATAATATCCAGCCGCGTTGTTCTGCAAGTTGAAAAAGGACAGAACTGATTTAACCGACCCTTATTTTATTTTCACTACGTCCTGCACGTTTCGCACATGCTCAGAACTTCTTGGCCGAAAACTCGAAATTTTAGTGCCGTTAGTCGCCGGTCAGCCAATTGCAGCGCTACCTGCGTAACGCGGTGACAAGGACGCCCATATAATTGCCACCTCTCTTATTTTACTTTCTCTATGAACTCGACACTTTTCGGTAGATATCGTAGAAAATCGGTAGACTCTAGTTTCTTTCATTATTAAGGGCTCCATAAAATCGCACGTTTTACAAAATTTGAATTTTTATGAAATTACAGCAGTACTAAAATAAACATAAGAATGAGGAAGTATATTTATAATATTTTTTTAAACATCACAACACATTGTTAACAAAAATAAAATAATAAGTGCACAAAAAATAAATAAAACCTTCATCATACATACTGCTAATAAAATTATTAATAATAATTTCACAAAATAATCTCCTTTCTTTCTTTTAAATAAAAATATCTCCTCTGTCTTCCAAATTATCCTTATATAAGATTTTATCATTCGTAGATAACACAAGCTTATCTTCAGTTTCAAAACTATGACAATTGTTGCTACCAATATATCTCTTGGTGTGAAGTAAAAATGAAATTGTACTAGTTTTTAACTTATTTCTCAACTTAGTTTTCATTAGATTAACCTGTAAAAATATCCGTTCTACATTGGCTGATGAGTGAGGCAGAATAAGCAAGTTACAAACAAAATTTGTTAAAATTGGAAGCATGAATGTATCATCTCCATATTTCAATAATTATTCTTGGCTCCAAAAATTCTCATTATTTTTTCAAGCACCATGCGTTTCGTCCCGGTCCCACCTATTGGACGCGTCAGTAGTAGGTAGGCCCTGCCTTAGACATAATGTAGTATTGGAAGAGGTATTTGAAGCGAAACGGCGCAGATCTTATTAGGTGAGATATAGGCATATAGGAGATACTCGCATGTCGATTGGAGCTACTACTTCAGAAGCGGAGGATAGAGTTCGCCACAGTAGTCCCCTCCTAGGGACCTCGTTGAGCGGCGGCTACGCGTAGGATGCACCACCCCATAGAGAAAATAAAATAATATTATTTTACTTGCTCTATGCACCACCCTCGCAGCCCTGTCATCAAAGCAAATCCTATCCGTCTCGTCTTTATCTATGACTATCTATCTATCTATCTAGCTGTTTGACTGCACGACGTATTTTAGTTCTGGTAGACTGATTGTCTTTTTATCAGAAATATACAAATAATGACAATAAAAGTGAACTTATCAAGACCGTAACAAAAAGTAAAACCATTCCAATGGATCAGTCGATTTTAATTAATGATATTGAATCGAATGCTTTCCAAATAATAGAAAATGTTAAAAAATAAAATAAAAATCTTTCTGTTGAAAATTTATCATTTATATTAAATTCTTTTAAAAATATTAAAACATGCAGTACCTTTAATACTGATAATAATTGCGAATTTGACTTTGAGATGGCTCATAATGAACCACATAATAAGAAAATTAAGAAGTAAGTTTTTTTTCTCTACCAAAAAGTTAATTCAAATAAGAAACCACATCAGGAAGAAAACGTAATTATTGAAAATACGTTGAGCAAGGGAGAATCGTTCATATCCAATGAAGCAGTTAATGGTCATATGCATACGACTCTTAAATAATTACGTATTTTGATGTAGTACCTAGATATTTATTTTATTATATGTATTTGTGTTATTCTCCGAATAAACGTATTAACATTTAATGACACTTTCTATATTGCATATTATCAGTAGCGGCTGAACGATCTTTGATTTTAAATAAAAACGGGAATACATATTTCCGTTCTCGCATGAGTTTTACTTTTTCTTAAGATCTTATTAAGTTCACTTTTATTGTCATTATTTCTATTGCACTTATTAGTTATATTTTCATAACTATTGAAATAATGTAAACATATTAAGTAAATATAACTACTATATTAATATGTTTTATATTATATTTAAGGCAAGTACATTCAAAAGGATGGATGCAGATGTACACACATGCAAAACAGAACACTCCTAGGGGATCTTTTAAATACTATGGTATTTAAAAGATATTAACGACGGACAAATAAAGAAACAAATACTTCTATGATAAAAACAAAAAAGTCTACGAGATCCAGAATACGTGAACAGCGGATGTGACAGGGGCTGCGAGAGTGGTGCATGCGTAGTTCATGGAATGGTGTCCCATAGATAAAGACGAGTGTGGTGTCCTACTTGTCTTTATCTATGGTCCTACGCGTAGCCGCCGCTCAACGTTGACGCAGGATGACCAGGTCTGGCAAATTTATCGCCAAATTGAAGATTTTTTACGAGTGGATCGCCGCAGTAATGAACCTGTGGAACCGTATTACTTTTGGATTCATGACGTCATTGTTTCAGTCACTTTTATCAAATACTATAGACTATCATGTTACAAAGCTAGGATATTACGTCGATTTGCGTGACGTCAATGGAGGTCACTGCACGTCGTGATTTTTTCCTATCTGCTAAATGTGATTAAATATAGATTATTTAGTCTCTGTCACTTTTTAGTATTTTTTTATAAATCTTCGCTATTATTACAAAATATTTTGCAGGAGGTTTTAAACTTGAAAATAAAAATAACAAAAAATTATTTAATTTGTAGACTAGCACAGTTGCCAGATGTGCAATAAAGTATAGCGTTTGTTTTTGGCAAATGCCCTAAAAGTTCCTCTCATGTCTCATAATCATCATCACAAAATATCCCCCCATGGGGTATGTTCTGTGATCATCATTTTTGAAATGCTGAGAGCATATTCTGGCGGAGGAAACATTAATGGTGTCTGCACGACAACAATAATTCTCATAGCTTGCTTAAAATACTGTCTTTTGGAAATCTATGAAACTTTATTTCGGAGATTTAACTCTCGTATTTCTAATGCAACCGTAAACCGCACACCGCATTTTAGAGATGGGTAGGATTCGTATAATTCTAGTGATTCGAATAGTACGAATCCCTAAATAGAAATATTCGTACATTTCGTGTCGGCTTAGAATCGCACCACGTTCCAGTACAGAGACAAGTCCAGTACTTGTCTCTGCTTTATGGTTCTTTGAACAAGATGCTTTGTTCGAAACACACTCATCATTCTTAGTCAAGCAAACGGAAATGTAGCAGGCAATAAAGTATCTGGGCTAAATCTATGACTCAATACCACAAAAGTTCCTCCGAACGCTCTTATCTATGCACCAATAAATCCAAATATTTGTTCTTGCAAAAATTTTTTTTTAGCTAAGTTAAAAGCACACAAAACCAGAAAATCCAAAAACTTTCATATAAAAATCACGATGTTTTGATAAAATGGCCTAACTCAATATCTTTTCCTGCTTGACGTCACACGGAGAGTATGTCATGTTTTGGCAACAATGCTCCGGTCTACAATGTCAATTGTCACTGCGTCTGTCATTTGTGCTTCCTTTGGAGAACTTGTTCTAGAGGTGTGAGGTTTATCGTGCTTAGAGGAATTTAATTTAAAAGGTAGTCTGAACTCAACATCAATCTTTATTCTATTGTGTATCTATTTTGTACATTTTTTAGCTTGATTAACAATGGAAAACGAAGCTGGAGAGTTCGTGGACTTGTATTGGCCAAGGAAATGGTAAATACACGCCGTAAACCTAACACGTGCTAATCAAAGAATTTATAGAATAACTAAAGAATAATAGCGAATTGAATCTGACGAAGATTAGTTTTGAATAAAACAACTATATCACCTTATGCCCACATTTCTTCAAACACTTTTTTTTGTTATATTCCAGCTCTGCATCAAACAGAATTATCCACGCTAAAGATCATGCATCCATACAAATTAGCTTCGCTGAAGTCGATCCAGTTACCGGCAGGATGACTGATAACTCCAAAAGCTATGCTTTATGTGGAGCGATTCGAAGGATGGGAGAGTCTGATGATTGTATTGTCAGGCTCGCGAAGCGAGACGGCCTTATTGCGAAGTATGTTTTTCATTTATATTGTGCACAATTTTCGGTAATTTATTTATAAAACTAAAACATGTTTTATTTTGTTACAGGAACTTCTAGAATCTATGGCCAGCGTTTAACTGTGTTGCAAGTTAAATGGATTTTAAGTCAATAAATTAAATTTCCAAGATTTTTAATTAGTTATTCTCTTCCTGCCAAAAGTTTATTCATTCCCTCAATTACCTACTGTTGTTGTTCCGTACGATCCCCGAATCTGCATTTCACAGGTACGTACTGATGTTCAGGAAGTCTTTGATACAAAACGTTTGGGCATGTTTCTGGATGCATTTCATTATGAACTTTGATTACATACAACTGTTCAATGTTATGTTCATTCAAATAATGCTTATTTCTGACATATTGGGATCAAAAATGGTCTTATAACAGCATTAATTTAAATTCAATCAAAAGTTTATGTAAAAAAGTGTGTATGTATGTATAAGACTGGTCGCCATACTGTTAAGGCCGACTAGTCAAGTTCCTTAATTAAATTTCATTCTAATTTCAACTTCAGTCTGTTTCTACAATACACTTACAATTACAAGACCATTTCTGACTATTGTTTTACATGTTCGGTTTGGTGCTCTTGAGGATGTTCACTTTTAATTAGACGATGGCGCTGATGATGACGTAATTGTCGAAAGCGCTTGACCTTTTTATATATACATACACACTTTTTTACATAAACTTGTTTGATTTAATTTCATCCAGTGTGTAGACAGCAACTTCTTTTGTTATTATTTTAAAAGACGAACCACTGTTATTATACCTTTCAGCCTGACTAAAATAGTCGCTCGTGTTTTTTATGAAAGTATATACTATAATTTTGTTTTCAGTTAAAGTTTCTTTATAACTTCACTGGCACAATGATCATGTATTTATAACAGGTACAAAATTGTTTGATTCGAAAGAATCAAAAACTGGCACTTTTTCCACAGATGCCGTGATCATAAAGAAGCACTTTTTCCACAGATGCCGTGATCATAAAGAAGCACTTTTAATGTGCTTACTTTACGCATTCAATAGTTATTTAGTTGACACTAAGTCTCATAGCTAAAAGCAAGCTATCTTTTCAGCCTTTAACATTTTGTACCCGGTTATCCCCTCAAACTAAACTAATATCTTGAGCTATTGCAATAATACAGAATACTTTCCTCTGAAGACCAAAAAATAAACTTTAGTATTTACATTGAATTCAGAGATCCATTCTCTAGCGCTTTCTGAATCTGACAAGATAATATTTATATATAGTTTATATTTTCTTTTTTGTTACCGGTTCAGTGTGGATCACAAATATTTGCATACTCGTCTTTATCTATGCGTGCGACTTGGTTACATAATATGTATGCAAGAGTTTTGGTTTGCTGGGTCGTAGTCATTAGGTAGCCCCCTAATCACTACATGCAGCTTCTTCTCTTCCTGCAGCGTGTACGTGAAGTACGGCCGCTGCAGGCTTTCGAGTAGGCGTGTTGCGTTTCTGAAATCTGCATCACTATTAGTTTTTATACATACATTTTTTTACTCATGTTACTTATCTTTGACTTTGATCGGATCAGTGTTTTATATAATCGTTGAGCTCTAGGTGTAAACATTTTTTTCCTGGTTACACCAACATCAGTTAATATACCTCTTCGGTATATTTTGGAGTGCCTAAAAATAAAAATTTTACATTTAATATGATAAAATCTAAACAATTAACCTTAAATGTCAGACAGTAATTTTCTCAAAATTATTTGTAAAATTGATTATCAATAGTTCTATTAGTTTAGCTATTTATAATTTAGTTCTAAAATTAAAGAAATGTTTTTCTGCAAAAAAAAATCAATTTATTAAGTCAAAAATTCACCATTCGCACTTACCATCTATAGTAATACGACGATTGGTGGGCCATTCAAGATTCATTTGACTTTCTTCAACAATGCTAGGACTTGGTAATGAAAATGTGGTTTCATACTGAATACTATTTATATCAGTACCAACAGAACAACTTACTGGACCATTAACGACAAAACTTTGATTCTGTGTTGTTCGAGAGCATTCCCCTACGTCAGGTAATGTTTTTCAGCAAAAACTAATAAATTTATTAAGTTAAAAATTCGTCATTTGCACTTACCATCTATAGTAATAAGACGATTACTGGGCTATTCAAGATTAATTTGACTTTCTTCAACAATGCTAGTAGTTGGTAATGACAATCTGGTTTCATACTGAAGACATAAATAGTTTTGATATAAATAATCAATACCAACAGAACAACTTACTGGACTATTAACGACAAAACTTTGACTCTGTGTTGTTCGAGAGCATTCCCATACGTCAGGTAAATCTATATGTGACCAAAGTTGTTCAAAATTTGTTGCTAAAACATAGAGGCAATAAGACAAAGTGGCTCTAATTTTTTTTCATCAATCAGACCATTTAGGTACATCAGAATAGTATCGACATTTTCTAAAATTTGCTAGGCACTGAAACAGTAATTTAACCATTTGCCACTTTGTCACTGATTATACCTTCAAATGTTAATTTTGCTTCAAAAATAATGCACGTTTCAAGAAATTACAGCAATCCACTTTTTGCCAAATTATAAAAATGTTTAAAGGCACACACACACAAACTTAATTTTAGTTACCTGACTTCATATTTAGACTAGGGGGATATTTTGTGTACCATTACAACATCTGGGATTTCGATATTTCAGCAAAGCAAAAAGGCAAATACCTGCCTGCCTTTGTGCCTTTTAATTCCCCGCGGCGTTGTCAATTGGCCTGAGTTTTAGTGAGAGAAGATATTTTATTCTCATGAAGTGGTAAGGTTTGTATAAGCCTTGTTCTATGGCACTTCTATGGTTTTGTATGTATGGGAGTAGGACGTGGGACCTGATGATTTTCGAATCCATGCACCCATGATTCGGCAAATAGCAATATTCAATGAACAGAAAATATTAGGAACAGCAGTAACAGCCGTCTCCGATATTTTCTATAATGTGACCAGGCCTGTGAGTCACAGGCTGTGACTGACTGATTGATTGCTTTTTCGGAACTTTGAGGTGTTCCTTGTCCTTGAAACTTGATCTTTTTCGACCAATAGCAGTGCTTCTGAAATAAAACAGCATTTTTTCCATCTGCCCAGTGGAGTAGTGGACGAACTACATTTAAATTTGTATAGGCGCTATTTAGCTAGTCTGGACATGTTTCAATATTTGTTTATATCAAATATAGCTGAAATATTAAATGGCCATTTGTAATCAGTGATTAGCATGAAAATAGAAGATTTTTCACATTTTACTGGGAAAGTGGGAAAGATAAAAAATGTGGTCACCTCTTTTTGTGTTCAAATAACGTTTCGATAAAATGGTAAAACGTTACTTATAAGAAATGTTATGACTTTTTTTTGACCATCAGCTACATAAAAGAACAGAAGGCATTCGGTCTTCGGCCATAATTTATTGCTGACCCAGCAAAAATCGCACCCAAATTACTAGGAAGTGGCGTGGATATACTTCAATGGAATAATTAGTGTAGTCGGATTAGATTAGATTTTTTCGGGCACTAAATAGATGAAAGTAAAATTTTTTATTTTCATTTTGGTTTTGGCACTATAACTTTTTTTGAAGGTGTCTGCATACTTTATAAGTGGTATAAACTCTTGTCAGATTCTAAACACATTTTTCCTGAGACGTCGGAGCAGAGACAAGTCTTGTCTCTGGTCGGAGAGACTTCTTTGAGACTGTATTTTACTCGTAAAAAGTTATACTACAACGTACAGTAAATGACAATTTCATTACTGACTGACCAAAAAAAGTTATGATACCATTTTCTTGAAACAAAACTAAATTAATTATTAAAAATTAACAAAACGCTTAAATCGACGGTTTTTTTTATGTGTCACATACTTACACCCCGCAGAAGATGAAGAGAACGAGAGACAAGTGCGGCGAACCGTGCGAGACTTGCCACGGGCAAGAGAAGAAGAGGAAGTCTAGCCAACATCCCCCAGAGAAATTGCAGGCATCGTCAAATGCCTGAAACGAAGAAAAGCACCCGACAAGGATGGAATTACCAATGTGATGCTCAAGAACCTCCCGCAAAAAGGAATAGTAGCCATCACCAACCTCATTAATGCTGTTCTGCGAACTAGACACTTTTCCACCAGCTGGAAGCAGGCGGACACTCATGTTTAGCAAGCCTAAAAAAGATAAAGTGATGCCACAAAACTACAGGCCGATTAGCCTCCTGCCAACCATCAGCAAGGTAGCCGAAAGAGTGATTCTTCTAAGACTCAAAGATGATGTCGAACCACTGAATCTCCTCCCCCCAGAGCAGTTTGGGTTCAGGAACAAACACTCCACCGAACTTCAACTACTCCGAATAGTAGAGCAAGCATCGCACAATGCTGACAGAGGACTCACCACTGGAATGCTGCTTCTAGACGTAGAAAGAGCGTTCGACAGATTCTGGCATGATGGCCTTATTTGCAAACTGGTAGATTCAGGCATCTCAAAGCGCATGTGTCAACTAATGGACAGCTACATTCGAAGAAGGACGTTCCAAATTAAAATTGACCACTTCAAATCTAGTGGACGAACACCAGAAGCGGGAGTTCCCCAAGGAGCAGTGCTTTCCCCACTCCTGTATAATATATACACCCACGATATTCCGAGGGCAGCGAGAGCCTCTATAGCATTGTACGTCGATGATACAGCCATGCTAACAGCACACAAACACAAAGACAATCAGCCCTGTGCTGTATCACTCACGTTAACTTTAACGTGCATGTTATCCGTCAAACACGTTATGTGGCTCTAACTGGTGTCTTGAATCAGTAAAACCTTTATATTATAATATGCGCACGCTATCGACGAACGTTATATGAAGAAATAGCGCTTCAGAATAACAGCATCAAATCACATGCCGCTTTCGAACTTAACGTGCATCCCTCGAAGTTAACTTCGGGGAATAAATAAAACAATTGCGTTTAATCAGAGCGTAGTTTTGCCTTTTAGCTATAATTTATTTTTAATTTAATAGAAAAATGTCTTTTGATGGTCTTATAAGGTTAGCTTTATTAGAACAATTGGAAAATGGTCTTGAAAATAAACTTTATTTTTTCCTCTCTCCGCCTCTTCTGTACATGCTCCATTGAAAGTGTTTGAGATGATAGGTCAAGAACAATAACGAACGAAATTGAAAGTGAATGCAAATCATAGGTGGCCCAAATGGTCAACACGTGCACATGTGGCGGTGGTGCATATGTTTTAGAGCCTTCAATGGTTTGATGTTAACTCTCTCTCTCTAACTAATCCAATATTTTTTTTCTTTTTAACGTTTGATGGATAACTGGGTCGGAAACGCATACGTTAACTCGGAGATATAGCACACCTCGGTTGTGTTGTTGGGTTATCGAAAATGTTATCCTGAACTGTTAAGTTGCCATAACGTGTGACCGTTAAAAATAACATTTATGATACAGCACAGGGCTGATTGTAGCTAAAAATCTTCAAGCTGCCATCGACTTGATATGTGATTGGTTTATCATTTGGAAAATTATGATCAACTCCGACAATAGCCAGGTCAGTTTCCTGGGACGAAAACTGGACACTTGCACCAAGCGGATAATCATAGAGGATAAAAAAGTCGCCTGGACCAGTACCATCAAATACCTGGGGGTTATCCTAGACCAGCGACTCACGTACTAATACCACATACAGGCAGGACAAGGACATGTGGACAAGGCCAAAAGCTGCATTGCCCAACTATATCCACTTTTGAACAAGAAAAGTCAGCTCAGCTTGAAAAACAAACTTACGCTGATTAAAACTATTATTCGACCTGCGTTGCTGTATGCCTCAACTGCGTGGGGGCACGCAGCAGACTCTTCAATCCACAAAATCCAAAGCATGGAAAATAAACTGCTGTGGATGGCGCTTGATGCACCTTGGTTCATCAGGAATGCCCAAATTTACAGAGACCTGGAATGGAAACCCTTCAGACAAGCCCTGAAGGAGAAGGCACAGGCAACCTTTCGTCGAGCAGAAGAACACCCATACGAGGAGCTCAGAAGGTTCGTTAACTACGACGTCGTAGCAACTACAAGTGTAGTGATTGTGACAAGTTAACGGACACAAGGTCACAGCGCGGACCCTCAAGGACGCTCACGTGAAGTTTGTGGAGTGCATACGACACGGGACATGCAAACGAGACATTCACATGCAGTTTGCCCCCATCGGACAGTACATCTAAATGCGGAACAATAGGCAAGATGACAGATTTTGAAATACCGTTGTATAATGTAGGTATACGTCTACTATATCCCAAAACATCATTATTTCCGCAAGAAATTATATGTTTGATCAAATAATCGCATTTTTATCTTACCATTTCATATAAAGCGCGAAAACGCTCGTGGGTGTCATGTCGTCTGCTTGTGACGTCACGACCTTATTCAGTGTGCACGGTACCTATGTTTAAAGAGGGGAGTTCACAAAATATTATACATTTTGAGTGTTAAAAATGACTTCCAAATTTTACAAGTGCTGTGCGGGTCCTCTATGCACAAACACATCAATAACAACATCTAATAAATTGTTTGTCTTCGTTCTAATCAAGAAAATAGTGATTTAAATGGCTAAAGCTCGCAATGCGAAAACCATCAGATATGAGCAGGAATACAAAACTTAATTTTTGTAAAGACCACTTTGATGTAAGGATTTGCTTTAGATTGATAGAGACATTCAGAATTTTTTTGAGATTAAATATCAATTATATAAACATATTAATAATTTTACAATTATCATTCCCTATAGACTATTTATTCTCCTTTCCGCTGTCTAATGCTCTGGAAAACTATATGGAGTATCATTTGATGGGTAACCTTTCTGAACCTGAAGCTAAGGAAACAAATAGCTAGCTTGAGGATTCATATTGAACGGGGGATCAGACCAGGGCATGACTTGATAAGCCTTGTTCTATGGACTTGATCTAACCTCACTGTGTAAAGAAATGTTGTCGGTCGACCGAAAAATAATAAAATAGAAATGGTACGTAGGCCAGTTTATAACTTAATTTTCGAAGCAGTCTACGAGTATTTTATTGTTACTTATGTACTTTGTCTGTCCTGTCCTGTGAAAATGGTCCGTCGTTAAACGCGTTTAACATAAACCTAAGGCCCATTTTCATCAGAAACAAGCGAAACGCAGTTTGACAAAACTAATTTTATGTTAAACGTCGAAATTAAACGCGTTTAACGACGGACCATTTTCACCAGCGTTTCGGTACGTTTCACAAACTGCGTTTATTGAAACGCAGTTTAAGAAACTGGAAACACTGGCATCGTTGCAAAAGTGAGAAAT